GTCCTCGGTGGCTCTGTCCTATGAAGGCTCCTCCTCTCTAATACGTTACGCAAAACAGAGCAGTGGACCAAGGCCACTTTCTCCTCGGCAGAAAGGAGAAATTTATAGGAGAAAATGATGCTGATGTGAATGACAGTAAACTTGTCAGTGATGTAATGTAGCAGAAAGAGTTTTAATTACTATGCAATTAAATGCTATCCTGCAAATTAAACTGTTCAACTCACTAAAAGCAGGTGCATTTCTTACCCTGCATTCAATACACACCCACAACTATAGAAATAGCATACTGCATATATTACTGTACAATGTGTAGAAGTTGGTTTCATTCACCTTTATTTCTCTTAAACTTTCTATAGATCAGACGCATGCACAAAGGGTTATGGATGACAGAAGACCATGAAGAATAGGCGGCATCCTCAAAAATGGCCAGAATGTAGGATGCATTTCTTGGCTGTATTTGAAGGATCCTTCCAATTGGAACAGCCTTCAATGACGTAGTGGTCTAGAAATGCAGCCCACCTACACTGTAGAACAGCTTTTGGAATGCAGCCTGTGCATTCCAAATATGTATTTAGTGTTTCAAACTTTTTCATTCAAATAATTTAGCATTATTGTAACAATGAAATTTGATAAACAAATACATTCTTTAAAGTGAAGGTTTAGGTCGTGCAGACGACCACAGGGAAAAAGAGTGGGGCTTTGCATCAATGACACTATGTTTATTTGTAATAATATGAAATATCTTTTTATGGAAAGTTGTTAAAATGAGATTTCAAAAGGAAATTAGCTTTACAGGAGAAAACAGCATAAATGGAAGTAAATGAACCAAGATCTTATTTGAAGTCATTTTAGAGAGAGAGAGAGAGAGAGAGAGAGAGAGAGAATTTTTGAGGTATTTTATGCCTAAATTATGTTGATTTTATTAAACCAAACGATGTAACATACCATTTTGTCACTAAGAAAAAATAACACTGCTGAAACTTTACTAATGTTTCAGTAGTGACTGTTTCAAAAGTGACATTTTTAGCTAATTTTAAACATGACTCAAAACACAGCTTTGAACATTTGTACACACAAAAAATTAATCATAATATTTTTTCATTGAAAGGAAAAAAAGTATTTGCAGATAATTGCAGATAATTTTATTTAAATTTTATTTTTTAAATTGTATTTTGGTCATTAGCGTCAGGGATGCAGTCTCACTTCCTGTTCTAAAATGAAAGGGTGTGGCCACAATAAGGCTTTGCCTATGGACTAAAACTCTTTGGGTGCATTTGAAATGGCATACTACTACACAACACACTGCACTAGTATATACTGTGTACTGTATGCTATTCTTCATAGTAATATATTATACAGTATCCAGCATACGACAAAATTTGTGTGCCGTGCTACAGGAAAGGGGCGTGACCAGACTGTCAACATAAGGGACTGAGCCAATCAGACTGATCTCAAAACCCGCCCCAATTTCCTCAGCTCTCCGATCACTGCTTAGCAAACGTTGATAGCCACTTTTCAGCTCTTTTTCAGGTCTTTAGCAACACACGGATATATTCTGAAGTGAGCAAAGTGAGTTAAGTAGGAGGACAAATTATTTCCCTTCATTGTATTTATGTATCCATAAAAGGATATTGAAGTGTTCAGAGTAAACCAGGCTGCATTTTGGAATGCAGCATATCATGAATATAGCCTACGTACTGGAATATTTGGCCATCATCCAGGTATCTTAGGCATACTAAAGGAATTCATGTTGGTCACAAACTGCATACTACATAGTACTTTTGGGCACAATTAGTACGCAAGCAGTGTGTAGTAGCTTATTTTGAACACAGCCTTTATGCTTCAGTGGTGGCATGAAAATATGGGAGTTAGGGTTTGTGACGGCCACCTCCCAACAGAAAGTACCCTATAAATTATGCTTTCGTTTATATTTAGCTTATTACTATCTCAATTAATGTCTTGGGTTTAAACAGACCATAACATAATCCTTGTAAATATCTAAGGTCTGAACACTTCATTATCACAAAAACCTACCACATTTACACATATCTGCCTGATCAGCCTTACACAGTTTACCCCAAGTTGTTGTCAATAAACACCACCTGTTGCTGCATCCATAACTATCACTGTGCAAAAAAACATGTATCTCTATTTTTTGTAATCTTTATTTTTTGCACAATTTGAACCGACGTCCTCTACATTGTGTGAACAGTTCATGATGAAGGGACCAAATAAAGTACTCCAAAATTGTTTAGAATAAGATCTCTTTATATTAACCTAACTGTTTTAGCCATGAATACAGAGCAACCAATCAGAACAGAGATCATTTACATCTTAAAAGCACATTACGTCTTAAAGGTACAGTAACAAAAACAGCCTGTTTAATTCTAATACATAAAGAGAGGTTAGAAAATTATTATGTACAATTTAATTGCTACTGTTTTTTGTAAAAACCACAAAAATGTTATAGGTGGACCTCAAGGAAAAAGGGCAAAATACAATAAAAATGTGGGATGCAGTCCTCAGATAAGTTCTAGGGCAGTGATTCTCAATCCAGATCCTGGAGAACCATTGATCTGCACATTTTAAATCTTCCCCTGCTCACATCACACCTAAAGCAACTAATGAAGTAATTAACAAGCCCTTCCCGAGGTGAACTATGTGCTGTAGAACAGGAAAACACTAAAACATGCAGGGCAGTGGGACTCCAGGACCAGGATTGAGAACTACCATTCTAGAGAACTCACTGACTGGAAGCATTCAGCCTGTCTATTATAGGGTGTATTACAGGTGATTGCATAGTCTGAAATTATGGCAAGGAGAAATGTATGACTAATTGCACAGCCCTGTGTTTTGCTGAAGTAATTTGCTACTGCCAGCACACCGACCATCTCTGTAACTTTAAAAATCCTGCTGACCAGTGAGCGCAGCCCATATTCTCAGTATAAAATCAATGAATCACTGGCAGACCTCTTAGCACTGCTTGTCACTACCGCAAATATGAAAGCTGCAATCACTTCCCTGCACCAAGTCAGTGGTAACAACTCTGGTTTTAAAAGATTACAGTCCTAGCAGATAGTAACTAAGCATCTAGGGCACTGTTTACACTTAGCATTAAAATGCATCCTGTATCTGGAAGTTGTCCACATTTAAAAGACACGTGTAATCGTGTTTGTGACGGCCAGCTTGGCTACATTTGTGGTCTAACATCACATGAGCTCCACCCTCAACTTTCAACATTGTTTCTGCCTCTTTAAACAAGCTATTTTTAGGAGTCTGCATTTATATTCAGTGGTTTGGCTTACAAACATAAAGACAACACACAATTTTCTCACCACTAGGGATGAGCCCAGATTTTTGAATATTTAAACAGTCATGACAGATTGAAAAATTAAATAGTAAATTAGGATTATTGATATACAAATTAGCTTCACTCTAACTTCATAAACTCTCATATTGAAGTACTATGAGATGTATGTATTCCATCAAAGGGCAGTGTAGAGCCAGGGTCTTATGTTTTTGGAGTTTCTTATCTGTTTAGTCCAAAGAAAAATCTCTGCTACTGCAGCTGGCTACAGGCTACCGCACACCAGACAAGAAGCGCTTCACTGCCAGTGTCTCTGGCATGCAGCTATAGCACAAAAGTGTTATAAAGACACATATCTGATAAAAAAGAATCTTAATGTACACTGTACTCGTATGCAAACCCAATACTAAAAATGCTGGGACAGGAAGTAAAAAATAAAGGAAGTTGTGTTCTCTTAGCCAAAGAAGAAGAGGATCATCCAGATCCAGTTACCAGCTCAAAGTTAAAAAACAGGGTCTTTCATTGTACGAGGGGCACAAGAAACCTACATTTGAAAACTCAAAATCTTAAATAGCTTTTGTTTACATTACTGTTACATTCAATTCTTTTACTTTTGTATTATGAAATCCCCAAAACAACAAATGTCAGATCTGTTCAATTAAAAGTATGACTGAATACAAGATATTACAGAGCTAGAAAAGGTTTAGAATAGTTTTAATTGTTTATTAAAGCTCCAAAACAGTTAATAAAACATTACATTAATAGACGTTATATCACTTCTTCATTTACTGGCTTTTATTATTTTTCAACTTATCTTCTTTCCTGCTTTCCCAATTCCAGCATATATTTAATCCCTTATCTATTCCCATTTCATATAATTCTGAGTTGGGCACGTCTGCCTAAGTGAGGTGATATATCATTGACTAAAGGATTCTCCTTTCAACATTACTGTGTTTATGACTGGCATGAGTGGCATGTTTATGATTTTATGATTGTATATTTTAAAAGTTTTAAGTGTTATTGAATTCAACATCGTTCTGAAATCATTCTAAAACAGATTTACATTGTTTTGTGCACTATTTTTAACCTTCTTGGAAAGATAAGACAGCGTCGGTCTGGAGCTTTAACCTTTAATTAATGAACTGCTCCCTCAGTGTGGCATTCATTTTACTACACTGTACTTAATATCACTGAAATGTTCGTCTCTTCCACGTTTTGTTTCCGAACACGTTGCTTTTTACTGGGTTGACATCAATCACTTGGGCTACCTGGTTAAAAGCACTTTCCTACTATTGGTGGGCGCAGAAAACACTACCTCTGGTTTGCCTATCGTGTTTTCTGTGAAGTTTGTGCTTGCTTCCTTGAGTTTAGTCTGTGCCACTAATTTTTTATGGTGCAACAAAATGACAGAAGCCATGCTGCCCCCCATGTGTACAGAGTGTACTGAAATCTGTCAGAATGAACACACATATGAACAATATGGGGCACTTAAAATAAATTAAACATCGTGAAAAATTAAAATAAACATCGTGTTGACAATAAAAACATCCACACTGACAACGTTAAAGTAAGTGTAAACAAAGCATGTGTGTCAGAGAACCATTACAGTCATGGCTGTAAGGCCAGGAGCTTAAGCGTTCTGTGATTAAACTCTATGATTCACAATTCCAGCAATGGTAAACACTTTACTCACCAGTACAGAAGAGCAAGGAAGAGTAGGAAAAGTCCAAGGGAGACAGAAAATCCACTGGCATCAACTCCAAACATCTTCAGCACTGTGGCCACATCCATACAAGTCTCCAAAACAATCCACCAGAAACCTGCCAGAGGGAGATAAGAGTGGTGTATGTGCATTAAACTATAGCTGTTTACTAATGACCTTTTTTTTAATAATAGTAACTTACGAATTACTGTCTTTAAAGAAAATAGCAGGGCCCAACAGCTTAGATCACAGATCTGGACCTATCTACAAACAGCACAGCAACAGGGCGCTTACTGTGTTTGCTGTTCATGGCAGTTAAAACTAACCTTCATCTATAGGTGGGCTTTAACTCTGTCCTACACTCACTCTTGCAATGTTCATTTAAAACTGTGAATGGTTAACCAGAGGAAAATACCAGTCAGGCCACAAACAATATCACCCTAACTACAAAGAGTCTTTTTTTCACACCATCACAAGCAAAAGACAAACAGAGTGCTGATATCAATAAGAGCATTTGTGTGACACAGGAACAGCGAAGAACAGTGTAGATGTGCTAAAGCATTTCCACTTATTTATGCAATTAATTTGGCATTACACTATTTTAAACAAGCCACATTTTACAGAAACATAGTTCTAAAGATACTCTAGACTAAAGAATTACAGCACCATAATGTGACACATATGGAAGAGCCACATGGAACATCACATACTGAGTAAAGTAGAAAATCTTTAGTAACTTGGTGGAAAGCAGAGGACACTTTTGGCTTTGGCTCATGATCAGGAATCTAAGGCATGCATGCCTGACACATAAATTAATGTACATCAACCCCTTAAACTCTAGCCTTATAATTCAGTAATTATTTCTAAGACTAACTACAATTTATTAATAACTAGCTATTATAAAACTAATATGTGAGGTATACTAACATGAGTGAGGAACTGAAAAATATACGGTTGCATACAAATTTTGGGCACCCCAGTCAAATTACACATTTTGTTGATTTTCTAAGTAAAAACTAATATACATCCTCAACAGAAAAGACATATTTTATTGTGCATATTTTGATGCACAATTACTGTTTATTTGCTGAATGTAACATATTGTTAAAAAACAATAGAAAAACAGAAACAGTTAAGCACTCTTGAAAGTTACTGGGATTTCTTCAGTTTGTTGGTACAGCCTTAAAAATAAAGGTTCCTAAATGGTTTTGGACATATGGTTTTAGCAAAGACCTTCAACTGGTATAGAATCTTTATATTTAGTGGACATTCTTTAAACTTCAAAAACGCACATCTCTTTAGCAAAAATGAAAAGGTTCATTAGAGAACCAAAATTGGTTTTTCTATGGTTTCACTCCACAGAACCCTTTCTGACTCTTTTTTTTTTATTGTGTATAGTGTTTATTTAACTGTGTATAGTGTTAAAACTCATAGATATTCTGTTAAGAATAGAACTAACACATATTTTCAGGTTTAATATGATTTTTGATTCAGAAGTCAAGAGTCTATTTGAGTTTTGATCATTTCTGTACTAAAATGTCTTCATTCTAAAAAAGCTCTAATTATTTATTACACAGGTTTGGCTCAGAAAGATACATATTTTATAAAAAAAAACAAGTGACAGCAAAGTAGCATGTCTTGTGCAAAAAAGTGAAATCCAATAAGCTACAAATCATTTAAAATAGACAGGATGCAACCAGATGCCCTTAGTAAAAAAAATCAGGAAATATTCTAGATTTATCTGCTCAAACATTTAATTGCTAAATTATTCTTAATCCATTGGTGCCTGATTTTTTCCTTATGGAGTCAGATGTAAACAACTGCAGAGTATAATAAATTACATGATCCTTCAAACCTCTCAAGGTGCTTAACCTCAACAGCTATGAACTCATCTAAGCAGCTGACTGAGTATCTAAATGAAAACCAAAAATAACTGACTTTTACAAAGCAAGAGAAGACTATAAAAGATATCTAAGCACTCTCGGTTTGTAATCTCAGAAAGAACTGCTTGTAGACTTATCGGGTGTACAAAGCAAAACCCCCACATCACTGTCAGAGACCTACACAAAGATTTGACTGGAACAGAAATAGTGATGCACTTGCCCACTGTGTCAACTACATGGAGGAGTCATCAGAAGGTAGCCTTAACTGTGATCTCATCACAGAAGTCAATGTCCGAAGGACGTATGAATACACTTAGATAACCTGAGGCATTTAGAAATCAAGTGCTGTGCACTAATGAAAAAAATAACTCTTTGGCTACAATCTCCAAAAGTCTGTTTGCAGAGAAAAGGAGAAGCGTTTCAAGAATCTTTCAAGCATGGGGTGGATCTAGCATGGTTTCGTGTGAAAACCAGAGGCACAGGAAATCATGTGGGGATAGAAGGAAGTGAGGATTCTATTAAATTTCACACAGTCACACTTGATATTACAAAAAGATAATGATCCAAACCATAGATCACACTAGTGTGCATAGATTTCAAGATGACCTATGAGTATTTCAGAACTAGAAGCACTCTGCCTGGAAAAATGGAAAAAATCCCAAATTTTGGCAAATAAATTATATTTATACATTAAAATTAGCAAAATGTCATATTTAAGTTAATTGCATGTAGCATTATTCAGTTGTAAGTATCAGTCTTGCACATTCACTTGTAATTTGACCAGGGGTGTCCAAAATTTGCATTTAATTGTATAACACTAGTGATACATTTAAACAGTATCAACACTGACTTTGCTTCATACATTTGTATTCTTTCATGTGTGAATCTTTAAAAAGTGTAACACTTTATTAGACAAGTTTAGTTAGCAGTGGGCTAAAATTGCTTAAGACCTCAAAGAACATTAAGAAACCAGACTTTTAAGTTTAAAGGGCTGCATCCAGAACCCACCAAACCATGAAGTGCTATTTTTATCAGTACACTTAAGAGCTGTAGTTAGATTCATTAACTCTATAACAAACTATAGATTAACTCTCTTTTACAATAAGAGGCCTGACAGACCAGATTAGCAATTTCTAATTTTTAAAGGTTGGTGTTTTACAGTAGAATTTGTAAATACAATTGTAATTATAAACAAAAGGTCATTTCAAAGATGTTTCCCTGTTTAATCCGTACCAAGGGGGCAGCAACTTTCCCAGGACGCACATTATAATGAGCTAAAAAAAATAAATAAAAAGCCTACATTTCCCACAAGCCTTTGCTAACCGGCAAAGTTCATTGATTATGTGCACTGACAGAAAATGAATGAATGAGAATATTTACAGGCCTGTGTGTTACACATAATGTTTACATAAATAAAAAAAATTACACTGATGGGAAGATAACAATGACAGGTGTAATTAAACTTGCTCTGGTTTAATCCAGGCATTGTAAAACCAACATTCACCCCTTTTTTTGATGGATATGTCAGAAAAGCAACCTGGCGAAGCATTTTATGTCTGGATCACCGTATTAACAAGAATGTACCTGAATCTTAAATGACTAGGTATGGCTAACAATGGCAATAACCCAACATTATGGGCTTTTAAAATAGAAACAAATATTACAGACCAAAAATATGAGAAGTTACTACTTACTATTTTACAACGAAAATGCTCCTCCAAACTGGTTAAATCTGCTCCTCCAGTCACTAGTTAGATGCATTATCTTCCCAAATGCTATACTGCTGAGAGAGCGATATAAACTAATAATAACACTCTAGTGCAAACCACTGTGAAGTGTTGCAACTGATATTTGTAGGTGTTTTAAATGAATCTCAGTGAAGTGATGATAATGACGACTGCAATGCACTGTGAAGCTAACTCTTCTTATATAGTGTGTCAGTCAACTCAAGTCAGTGCCACTGTTGTTAGCACTATTGCACTACTTCTGCGCTTTAATGTACAACACTGCTGTGTTAGTATTACTGCTGAAGATTTGCGTTACTCTTTGTTAATCTTGACCTTTCACAGTGCAGATACATTCATAAGCCTATACAGATTTATATTTCATTCTGCTGGCGTTCAGTTGAGACGTCTGCGTCAGAAAAAGCATAGCTGACTCTGACCTCGACAGGCAGCTGGAGTAGTCATTCATCATCACGTGAGGTGAAGTTGAGTGAACCACAGGACAAAGCAGTCCAAGGTTCTCCTCTAAAGCGCAGTAACGTGTGAAGATGTCTTACAGGTTTAGTCTAAGCAAAGTTGAAGACCTGTTTGTGGCCTATTAAGTCGATATTTTCAACTTTTACACCAAACCCACCTTGAACTTGTTACGCGTTACGTGCGAGCCATAACTACACTTAATAGCTACAATCCTACAACAACACTACCCAGAGCATCATGCTACAGTTTATCTAACGGGACAGAGAAAAGATTTTTTAAACGTTACATCAACTCAGCTGAAGAAAACAGATGAGGGCATGACTGTTAAACCACCACTGAGTAAATTACACTGGTAAATTGGGTAAAAACTTTGTCATGCTTACCTCTTTCTTTGCTAGCTCACGGTGCTGTTTGTTGACTAAGAAGCGTTTCTGGGTAGTGTAGTTTTAGCGAGTTGAAAAAGAACTACATTTAAGCGCTTTGCACACTGGTACTTGTAGTTCATCCGAATATCTGAAAGACGGCGTTGGTTATTCGTTCTGTATTTATTTATTTATTTATTTATTTTTACGTAGAACTTCGATTTGCACCTTTTTGACCTGCTGTTCAAATTCAAGCCATATGAAAACATGAACGAATATAATAAGTAATTATATATATAGTATATATAATTTCAGACCATGTTTGTTTAGAAATGCCCAGGATTTCTTCAGTTGTAAACGTTAATCTCTACACTTTGTCGTAGACGTGATCTATCATTTTGTGCAGGCTTGGGCTGTGTGTTGTTTTACAAAAGTCAGGAACACGTTGTTGCACCGTATCTAAACATTTCTTTTCAGATAAACATGGAATTAAATAAATTGCGCCTTTTTTTCTGGCGTTTGGCGGTAGATGACAGATTATTCCCATCTGTATGAGCCCTGTAATCCGATTCCGTCCCACCTCACTCTGTGAAAATCCAGTGGCGTCATTGGAGGAGCTGAGCCAGGCATGAGTTGCTGAATCCAACATCATCCAACCACGTACCCTGTGGATAATGAAGGCGCATCTGCAGAATATGCTGATGTTCGGAAGGAGGGCTTCCTATCCTCAGAAAAAATATCAGTAACGGTGTTCGTTCTTAATGGGCTGCATGGTGGATGACAATCTCTTCACAAAAGGCTGGTGCTATACCTAACTGTACCCTGGCAGCTGAGAGAGCTATGAATTAACTAACACTATCTCT